AATGAGTTTGTCGAAGTTATGAAAAGTTAGCATATTTACCATACAAGTGAAATTATGAATGAATTTCATACAGGAATACAATCTACAAAGCAACTAATAATACCTATTTATGTAATAAAAAATACAATTAAGTTCAGAATCTGATACAACCTAAAAAATCCGTACAATTAGATGGATTGGATACTCTCTACGAATAATATACACATGAAGATAGGTTCTCTATGATTCACATCCGAGCCACTTCAAGAAATTATTCTTCCATTAATGCCTGCCATAAGTCATACAAATTCAAGCAAACCAGAAATTGCAAAGAAATTAAGTTGTCATCTAGAAAATCACAATGATACTTCAAGTGATTTCAATATGATAAACATTGCCCTAGATGTTAAAGTTTGCCGATAGTTAAAAGTTAAAAATCACTGCTACAGCGAATGAGTTATATTAAACTCGTACATATTTAAGCAACTAAAGAAGCAAAAAAAATTAAATTATCATCCAGTAAAACGTCCTTCACGTCATCAGGTAGATAATAAATATAGAAATAAATTATCTACTCGTTGAAAAGATTCATAAATAACATATCCAAAGGGGCACCAGCATTGGAAAGCATTGCAAAAAAAAAAAACAAGAAACATTATTTAACACATGAACACCCTAAACGTTTAAATAGTATATACCAAGAAAAGTATTCTTTGAAGACCAATTTTCAATAAAATTAAAATGAAAAAAAAAAAAACTAGTTTTATGTAGATGTAGATGTAGATGGAAGTAAAAAAACAAGGTTGTCCAAAAAGATTTACCGAGCGAAGCTTAGATCCAAAATCAGGTGTAAAATCAGGCAATATATCCACATGAGTTTTTAACAAGCAAATCTCAGGTCCAACCTGCAAGAAAATCCAAAGCACGTAAACTCGCTTTCAATTATAAAATGTCAATGCTAACTAAAGGCTCAAATTTCTTGCAAAGGAAAGCCATTAGGGTTCCAATTAACAAGCCACACATAAAGAAAAAAAGTTAAAATAATTGTCTAGATTTGGGTGTTACACGCATAACCATCCCATATTAAGATCCATGCAAACCCTAATTTTAAGAAACTGAAAGCCAATTAAATAGAGCATAATTAATAATATATATGTATTATAATACTCTGCAAAGTCTCTGCAATCTCAATCTTCATAAATGGAAACCTACCATGTTCCCACCCTTCAATAGGCATTATCCAAGAGGTTGGGCAACAATGTTTATCAGTGCTTTCATTGCTAACATACTACTTAGCTAAAGCCTAGCATAACTTCAGAGGACACGGTCACAGAATGTATATACAAGTGATAGAAAGTGTATTTTTTATGAGGCAATCAAGCAAATATTTTTTATTAATGATGGCAATCACAATGCCAAGTTTGTTGGGTTAATAAGTGGAACTTCAGCATATTCATATTTGTTTGGACATTTTGAAGGTTATTCACTTTTTTGTTTCATTTCGTGCAGGCAAAATAATATTGATATTGAAGAAAAAAACATGTTTAATGATTATTCCTAATGTGGGTGTGTTTTAAACAATTAAGTGCATTGCATAAATTATTAAAATATAATTATAATTAATAAATATTTTTTGGGTTAGTTCTTAAGTTTTTTTTTATACATATGATATTACATTTTATTCTGTAATTTTGTTTTTTTATTTTGATAGAAAATATAAACATTAGGTAAAAATATTATGTCAATGGCATGTCGCGTTATACTGTTTATATTTATATAATTTCTCATGTCAATGTGTGTGTTTCATAGTTAGGAATGCATGCCACTTCACCAAGAACTTGCTTATGTAGTGTTGGGGAGTTTAGCTCACTAATGCCCTCCTAAATGCCTCTAACAATTCAAAAAAATGTTCTAACACATAAATAGTTACCCTCCATGTTCAGTGTGACAGGATAATGAAAACTTCATAAATTCAAATTAGGAAGACTTGGACACCAACAACAACACCAAAAATGTTTTATACTTCCTAAGGAGATGCAATTACTCCAAAGATGCCAAGCAAAATGCATTGGCTTCCACCATAAGGGTGAAATGAAATCAACAATGGCCCCCAAACAAATGGGTAATGTAAATCTTGTTTTGTCTTCCACCACATGGGGTGATACCAAACTTGCGTTAGTTTCCACACTAAGGAATAATATAATACTTACAAGCTTCCACCTCATGAGGTGATAAAAGATTAGGTACCTTGAAATACGTTCATAAATATTGATGTACCCTAAAGGAAACTATTCTCAGGTCCCGGTAAGCACCTTCCACCCACAGCATCCAATACTCACATCTAAGGCTCAACAATTCAAAATTCAAATTTTAAAGTTCAATAATTCGATCCTAATAGTCACAACATATTCCCTACCTAATGCGCATAATTATAGCACAGAGCTCCTTGGCTATAAGTTACAATGTCATAGCGATGGCTCCCTAACTCTTAGCAATAAGATCCAACCCACAAAATCCTAAATGATTGAACCATGAGATATAAACAAAACCTTATCAACTAATTCCAAATTCATACCCCGTACATAAGCACCACATTGAGACCTAAGTGCTTAGAATTGTCATTGTAATAAAAAAAACCTTCAAAAATATATTTAAGCGGGTTTTCTTAGTTGAAAGTTTTCTCTCAAGAGGAAGGGGTAATTAACTATGAGAGTTTGCACCTTTGAGAAGTTTTGAATTCTAAATCTATACAAACCATGATAATTTGCATTAGGTGAAATTTTGCTATATTTCAATCTACCTTGAAGAAAGTATATTAGGTTCCCTCATAGAAACACCAACAAAGTTTTTTCTTTAGAAATCTTAAACTATGTCATCAAAATTTCCTCAAATAGTATCCTACACAAATTTGTTCCATCTTAACATGAAGACCCATAGTTCCTAAATCCTAACAAGGTCCTAACATCAAAGAAAAAACCATAATTAACGTCAAACCATATAGTTGCTTAATTTTTTTTATCATTTACATTGGGGTCCGCTAACAGACCCTAATTATGAAATTATAGGATATTGGCAAGTTTTGGCACTCCCCTCACCCCTCTCCCCACTCCGCTCTCCCCTCTCCCCTCTCCCCTCTCCCCTCCATAGTTTTCTTTAAGCCTGACTGATGTATCCAGGAAATAAAAGAAGTCAAATTGGGGAGAATTAAAATACAATCTCTAAATATTCCTAATTAAAAGTTTCAATCCATAATTAGGAAATGTAAATTATCTATGGAGCTTGTGCCCATGAAAAATCTTTAAACTAAAAAAAGGAAGTCTTTGTTGAGAGCAAACTCTGTAGAAAGGGCATTATCCACAATCCAATTTTGTCAACTGATACTATCTTATGGTCCATCACAAGACTATGTGGTACTCAAAGCTATCATAAACTTCAAAGAACCTCTTAAATTAAACAACAAAATATAAGGGTTCAGCGCTAGCAATTGATCACTACAAGAAAAGCGGATCTCAAATAACTAATGTGATGATAAAACACTAATACTTTTGTGAAATTTCGAAAGGCAAAGTTTGCAATCTACAGACCAAAATTAATCAAGCCTTGAAGAAAACAAAGGTAACAACAAAAAAAACTGTAAAAATATAAATTTAAACCTAATTTGGCCTAAAAGAAGTCTTTAAATAAATACATAATCTCATCTGTTTAAAGATAAATGAACAATTCTCTCAATATCAATGTAATCCTAATAATATTCAAATTCCTCCACAAATATCTTATTAGAATGGCATATATATGAATGTATCAGTACATTCATGCCAGAATGCATTTAGGGTAGAAAATTTACCTCTAAGCCTGGAATTGACAACAAAATTTGATTTTTAGTGGCATGTATTGAGCTCCAATTAGATCAAGAAGCAAAATTTAGGTCTGATTTAGCCCTTTCACTTAACTTGATCAAGATTATATCAAACATATATGTGAATATAAATAATCATTTACATAATAATATAATTTTGTTTAACATTCATATGATTATAGAGCGGCACATTTAAGTATCAGCTAATGTGACATGACCACTTAGCCTTAGAATCTCAAAGATATATATATATATATATATATATATA